GTCGCCTGGGTCGGCTGCCGGCGCCTCCATGTCGGCTGCTGTCGCCTCCATGTCGCCTGGGTCGGCTGCCGTCACCTCCATGTCGCCTGGGTCGGCTGACGTCGCCTCCATGTCGGCTGCCGTCGCCTGGGTCGGCAGCCGTCGCCTGGGTCGGCTGCCGGCGCCTCCATGTCGGCTGCTGTCGCCTCCATGTCGCCTGGGTCGGCTGCCGTCACCTCCATGTCGCCTGGGTCGGCTGACGTCGCCTCCATGTCGGCTGCCGTCGCCTGGGTCGGCAGCCGTCGCCTGGGTCGGCTGCCGGCGCCTCCATGTCGGCTGCTGTCGCCTCCATGTCGCCTGGGTCGGCTGCCGTCACCTCCATGTCGCCTGGGTCGGCTGCCGTCATCCCCATGTCGCCTGGGTCGTCGCCTCGTCGTCCCATTTGTCGCCTGTGTTCGCCGTCGCCAAGGCTCTGGCTCCGTCAACCTCCGATGGCTCCTCATCGCCCCCCTTGGCCCCACGTCTGCTCCCGTCTCCCCCCTTGGCCCCACGTATGCTCATGCCTTCTCCAGGGGCTCAACGTCTGCTCCTGCGGAGCCTTGCCATGGAGGGTTTCCTGGCCGTCCCCCTGAACTTTCATGTTTTGTCTTAGAGTTCTGTCTTGTCACGTCTCCCCTTGTTCTGTGCCTCTCCTTGTCGATTGTCTGGTGACGATCGTTAAGAGGGAGGTACTGTCATGGTTTGTCATTTTATGCCTTGGATTTTCCTAGTGTTTCTATGTTCCCGTGTGTCTCTACTCAGCTGCCCCATGTCACACTGCTGATTACCCTTGTGTTTCTCCCCAGGTGTTTTCTGTTCCCTCATTAGTTTTCTGTGTATTTAAGCTCAAACTTGTCTCTGACGGTGCGCAGCGCTGCGGCTTCTGAATAAATGAAAATGATTTAACACAGTTATTTATACTTTTAGCAGCTCTTTTTATCCCACAGCTGAGCTGCTAAAAATGACAGATWTTCTTTTCTGGATCTCTGACAGACGGACTTCAATCTCTGAACTCGTAAAGTTTTTATTTTTTCAGTTTTCGCTGTAATTTCTCATGAATGAACACTTGGATCTGAGGTAGGAAACACAGCCTTATATGGTGTTTTTGGGGTGGTAATTATGCTAATCTCCTCTCGCGTGCACGAGCGGTTGGATAGGACAGGTGGAAATTACGCAGCTCATTTACACACGTTTCCTGAAGATAGAAGCGTTTGTTGAATCTGACGTGACATGTTCGTACGAACCTTTTGTACGAACAAAAGTAAGAGAAATTTAGTATAAGAATACGAACATGTTCTTGCATGAGGCCCATTGTTCTGTCTACCTGGTTGTGTCCTGTTCCATGTTCTTCAAGTCATAATGAGTTTCTGCTGTATTTTCAGCCTCCTTGACTTTTTTTTTATTAAAGGCCTCGTGCTTTTTTTGATTTTTGAAACCTGTCTGTGCCCTGGGTTATTTTGTTGGTCCTGACAGAGAAGCTGCTATTGTCGTTTGTATTTGTGTGTACTAAATTATATCTCTATTTGTTTGTTATTTTGTATTTTGAAATGTGTGTTTGTATGTTGTCTATTTACCCTAATTACAAATACATGCTCAGTTCCCAGGCACAAACTGGTGATTGTAGATGTCATCCAAAAACACATTTGGATTTAGTGGCTATTAGTGTGGCATTATTTGTTTTTATTTTGTGTCAATTTTTTTTGTATTTTTATGTAATGGTGTGATTATGTTGTTTAATATTTTTGTGTGTAGCACTGGACCCAATGGCAGTTAACTGCGCTGTTTGTGAAGTCTTGTTTTTACAGTAAAATGTTTAGTCTAGTGTAATATTGTTGTTCTTTGCATTTTCAGAGCAGAGACACAGTCTGTATTGGCTCTGCAGGCGTCACCAGCACCTCATACAGCTCAGTGTAATAAATGTATTCATGGGAGATTTTAAATATGAGCCTTCACCCGCAGCAGGATACATAACTCTGCTTTCAGTTGATGTGGATCTCATTTGAAGACACCATTGTCCAATCCCAGTAGCACTCTGTTGTTTTACTGTAGCTTATATGAATCCAATGATACAGCATTTTAACACAGATCCAGTCTCTTTACTGAAGCTTCAATGTTTTTTGGTTTTGCTTCTGGTTTGACCCATTATAACATTTTCCTCATGATTACAATACTTGTTTCATATTTTTATCACAGCTGATTTTAAACAAACACTTTTGTGCTTTTTTTAATCTGTTTTTTGCGGATGATGTAGTCCTAGTGGCTTCATCAGATCGTGATCTTCAGCTCTCACTGGAGCGGTTTGCAGCCAATTGTAAAGCAGCTGGGATGAGGATCAGTCCCTCCAAATCCAAGAGGCCATGGTCTTGAGCTGGAAAAGGGAAGGGTGCCTTCTCTGGGAGGTCTGGAGGAGGTTGTGCCCCAAGTGGAGGAGTTTAAGTATCTCGGGGTCTTGTTCATGAATGAGGGAAGAATGAAGGGGGAGATTGACAGGTGAATTGGTGCTGCATCTGCAGTGATGCGGGCGCTGTACCGGTCTGTCGTGAGGAAGTGAGAGCTGAGCCAGAAGGCAAAGCTCTTGGTTTACTGGTCAATCTAGGTTCCTACCCTTATCTATGGTCTCCAGCTTTGGGTAGTGACCGAAAGAATGAGACTGTAGAAATAAGCGGCCAAAATGAGTTTCCTTCGCAAAGTGTCTGGGCTCTGCCTTAAACTCTTAGAGATAGGGTGAGAAGCTCAGTCATCTGGGAGGGACTCAGAGTAGAGCTGCTGCTCCTCCACGTCGAGAGGAGCCAGTTGAGGTGGCTCAGGCATCTGGTTAGGATGCCTCCTGGATGCCTCCCTGGTGAGGTGTTCCAGGCACGTCCCACTGGGAGGAGGCCCAGAGGAAGACCCAGAACACGCTGGAGGGACATTTTTTCCGGCTGGCCTGGGAACGCCTTGGGATTCCCCCAGAGGAGCTGGCCCAAGTGACTGGGGAGAGGGAAGTCTGGGTCTCTCTGCTTAGGCTGCTGCCCCCACAACCCGACCTCGGATAAGCGGAAAAAAATGGATGGACAGACTTTTATGTGCATATGTTAAATGTATAGAATGTTACACTATTATCCATGTTGTTTATTTTATTTTATTTCTAAATATATTCTGCTAGTATCCCTTACTCAGAAATTTGGAGAAGGATAGGTACAGAGTCTGCACTTTTCAAACAGGGTTTGCTAATTTATGTCCGATATGACAATAGATTTGTGATACTCTTTATTTTAATGTCTGTCTTGATACTTGGTGATCTTAGTATTTTCCTTGGTATAAAACGTTTGAGAATTTCTCATGCTTTTCCACATGTGATTCGATGCAGAAAACTTTATCTGATCAAATGAACATATTAAGTTTCAAAATCACAGGGTCACATGTCATAAGATAGATTTTACTCTGTTTTTCTTTTGTTCAGATCCACGTGGATAATGACACACGTGTTTCACAATTCTTCTCTTAAAGTGGACATGTTATTTTAAAATCTCTTTTCTCCTTACTGTAACTCCACAAGCCCCTCTTTCACTCCTTTTTTAGGTGTGTCTCAGATCAACTTGTTTTGATGCTGTCCCTTTAAATCC